GTGCAGAATTACTTTAAAAAAGAGAATAAAAATATGACAACATTAAATAAATTTGTAAATTATGTAGTAAAATACCAGATTCTTGTTAAGAAAAGGAATAATTAAGGTTTATGCTTTTAATTAATTGATATTATACTAATATCATTTTAATATTGACTTTTGATTAATATTGACCCGTATAAGGATAATTTTAATGCTCATTCCTAGAAACCCTTTAAACAGCCTTCTTAATTTATTTCCATTTTCAGTCAAGAGATCCACCCTTGCACTGATTTTGGAATGGTTCAAAATGCAAAGAACATATTCTTACACTCTTGTTGCAGTTATATATATACCAATTGTTTTTTTCCATAAAGCTGCAGTTATTGGATCTGAGGGTATTTGATGAAAAGATATAAAAAAAACCTGATGTGTTTGCATATGGCACAAAATAACAGCACAAATGGTCATTTTAAAGTTTGAATAAAAATATACAAATCAATAAAAAAGTTAATTATATATTTTGTGCCTTTTTTTATTATACAATTTATACCTTGCATAAAATCCAGATAGCTTACTATTAATTAAAGCAATAATTTTCATATTTCTGCAATAATTCAAGACAGTCAGTAATTTAAATTGTCAAATCATCATAGCATGCTTTTATAAAACGTTGTGTATTTGACATTTCTTAATTCCTGTTCTATTTTCAAACTCATGTTAAAACCTGTCTCTTAACATTTTCAGTTAAAAAAATACTGAAATTGACAAATGCAAGTTTTGCAATGAACAGTTTTAAAAGCTCAATTTTGAAAATTGACAAAACATGTTATGCTACACCATTTTTCTATTTTCATCCAAATGATTGCAATTTTGTCACTTTGAAAACTTCAAGTATATAAAGGACATAATAAAAATTTTACAAAATAAATTTGATTTAAAATATTCTAACATTTTTATACAAAAATCTTGATAAAGATTTATATGATTGTTAAAAACAAGCTGCACTACTCAAATATCAAAACCATTTATATTACTTTATTTTTAATTGGATCACAAAATATTTTTGGAATATAATAAAAAGCTATTAACATACTATTAACATGATTTGGTGATTGTGGCAGAAAAAATAATTCGATATCTTAAAAAAAAATGACGTCATATACAAAAACTGTTATGAATTAAACACCCATGACAAATGTCTGCAAATTGCAGCTAACATAATAGAGACACGAAGAACAAAAAAAAAATGAAGATAAGCTTTGACTAAAACAACATTTTTCATTAATTTTTATTCAAAAAAATTTAGCCTAAAAGTTTTTTTAAACATTTTCTTTAATATGAACACAACTTGTCTTGGCACTTGGGGATCCTTTAAACGTGATTAAAAAAAGATTTTCTGTATGTATATATAATAAAATATGCAGAATATAAAAATAAAATTTTTTTCTTTACAAAACTGCACTTCTTCAAATTTGGTCATGTCTGGTATTGGCACCTTGTACTAGCTTTTGTACAGCATTTAGGTCAAGTCTTGTGGTACAATAACAAATCTGATACTTAAATCTTGATACATCATTTGTAGACGCTCCATCCTTGTACACATCCTGCTTAAGCATTTCAAAAATGCTCTATAGCAGAAGCTTTTGGCAAGTTTGCTGGATTGTCAATTTTTTGAACAAGTGGGTTCTCCTGGATTTTCAGCCAAAAATGTTACCGTATCAGCATAGTGAGATGTTGCCAAATCGAGTCAATAGATGTACTTGGTATCTTGATAATGTTTATTAATAAAAGGTTGCAAACGCTTCTGTAAAAATTCTTTCAATTGAATTTCTTGGTTTATCGCTTGGCCAGAAGGAACAATGTATATTGTTGTGACTCCTTGTAAGAAGATATGTTATCCATACAAGTAATTTTTATTCAAATTTACTGTCATAATGTTTAACAATATCTGGTGTCTAATTTTGATTATTTGAATAGTATATACTAGTACAAAGTTTTCCAACAAAGTGAAATAAGACTCTTTGTGAATAATAAATTTATGGTCACGATATTTTAAATAAAGTTGACTACAATTTTGACAACCCCAAAGCCTCTGTTCAGATGTACTGTCTTTTATAACAAAGTTTTGTTATAAAAAATTTTTATAACAAATAACAGCTTACAATGAGAGTATAAAATCACGCTCATTCAAGAGTTTGGGAAAGGAAAATGATAAGTTTTTAAATTGACTCTTAAGAATTTTATACTATATATAATAAATTTGCACAGACATTGAATAAACATTATGAAGTGATTACAGCTAATTTCTAGAACGGTATGTTATTTATTTTAACAAAGCGCACATGGAAACGCAATTTGAATAGAAATTAGCACAAATGAAATGCAAATAGAAAATTACTATACAAAAACAATGTAAATGGAAAATTACTATAAGAAAATCAAAATTTCAGAACATTTTTAAATTTTTAAAATGTCAATTATTTGATTTATTGTTTGGAATATTCCACACACTGTTTATAATAAAAATAAATATTTATTATAGAAACTTTTCAAAATTTTTTTTTTATATAGTATAGGTTTTTTATTAAGTATCATTTATTTTAAAGGGATCCTCAAGTGTCGTGACAAGTTGTGTTCATAGATAAGCATTAGAAAATAAGTTAAAAGTGAATTAAACTTTCCAAAACAAATTATTGAATGAGATATTAACAAAAACATTTGCTGCTTTGCCATTATACTTTCGGTTGAGAGCCTAATTTTAGACTCTCAAATCTGCATAGTTTTTTCTGATAAAAAAACATCTGGTTTCAATAATGTTTTTGCTCACCGCAGAGTTTTTTAAACTCAGTTCAGTTTTAAACAATCAGATTTGGGGTTCCCCTTCAAATTTAGTCTGTGGTGGTTAACGTTTGCTGTAGCATGTTTTTTGTTCAACGTATCGTCAAGTGTTTGAGTTAAATAAACTAGCAAAATAAAAATCATAATTTAGACGAAGCAAACTTTAAAATACACAAGATAAATATTTTTCTTAGAAAATAAGTAATCAAATTTTTTATATACAATACTAAGTACAATATAATCCAACATGGTTAAATTTAGAAAGATTTAAAAATCTTTATTTTTTTAATAAATTGAGGAAACCGTTTTAAAAATGATCTTATATATACTTTTAACTTATGTTTATAACAATTTATATTTCTAATTCAAGAAACCATTTTTAAAATGATCTAATATATATTTTTCAGATATATATAAAATTGATATTATAAACTTGAATCTTATATTTTCGTTTAACTGCCAAAATGGGAAACCCCTGCAATTTAAACTTGATTAAGAAACTTTATGTATTGACATCAAGACCTGATTTGAAAAATAAAAATAGTCAAAGAGCAAGAACTTTCCTTTGACAGAAACAAAATGGTGTTAAAAGTTAAAAAGCTTTTTGTTAATATCTCTCTCAATAATTTGTTTTGAAAAGTTTAATTAACTTTTACCTTATTTTCTAATGTTTATCAATCATATGAACACAACTTGTCTCAGCACTTGGGGATCCCTTTAAATTAAATGACAATGAAATAGACAGAGCCAAAAAAGGCATGACTGACAAATTAGCAGCATTCAGTTTCGAAAGTGAAATAGAGGACAGACCATTTACAACAGTTGTGGTGAAAACCAGTTATTAAAATTATAATAACTTTGAAAAAGAATTTTAAACTAAATTTCTTGCATTATAATAATCTCTTAATTTTTTAACGATAAAAAAAAGTAAAATCTATTTAAAAATTATTGTTAACAGCATAGTATTATTTAAAAAATATATCAAAACAACAAAAGCAATAAAAAAGTTGCCAATTTATTCTTCAGTATTAAACCAATAAAAACAATTGTGTTTTTGTTTGGTTACAACAAGTAGTTAGAAAGTATAAAGAGCTACTTTGTTGACATAGTGTCATGTTTGCGCTGTTATAGATACAAATTCAAAACATTTGTCAATAACAGAACTTTGTATAAAGAATAGAATACTTTTTATGAGCACAGTCTTCACCAATTTTTTAATCTCATGAATGCTCTTGCAGACATTATCTCGGCTGCGCATATCACGCTTGATGACAACTTTACAAATTTACAAGCGCAATATAAAACGCTGGTCAATTTTTTTTACCGCAAGCCCTATATGTATGTGCGTGTGTATATATATATATATATATATATATATATATATATATATATATATATATATATATATATATATATATATATATAATTTAACATAATTATAGCTATGATAATAGAATTATAATAAGAATATACACATTTTCTCACCTGAAATGAATCAGTAGCATAAAACCAAAATGTAATTGACAGTTGTTGTACTGGTGATAATGTGTATATGACTCATTTGTAATTCATTCATGAAATGAGTAAATTAACAAACATACTTCCAAAATAAAAAATCTAACATAACTTTTCATTGGATATTTATGTGATGATAATGACGATTTGTTTTTTAAATTTCAAGTTTGCTTTCTGTGCCAAACATAAAACAGTGCCTTAAAAACTCATTTTTTAAGTGAAAATTTAGTTCAGATTTTCATCATGCATTATACCCTTAGTTATGAATATTAAATATTATTAGAACTTTTCTTATAGCAAGCAAAGTATTAAAAGCCAATAAATAACATTTATACTACAAAGAAATAGTTTATTATTATGCTGCTTTACACAAATGATAATATTAAAAACTCATTAATTGTTTTGTTTAGAACATAAAATCACAGCCAACATGTTACAATTTATACAGCATTGGTTTTGGTGTTACAAATACATTAAGGGAACAAATAATTAAAAAAAAAAAGAATGTAGCAACATTATAAAAATTTGCTTGGTTTAGGAGACTTGAGGTCTCTTTGCTTCTAAATATATAAAGTATAACTTGATCTGAATAATGTGTAACATTACAAAATATTGACAAGACATGTCAGTAAAACTTAACAGAATAAGTATAAAAGCATACATACCACCAAAATACGTCCAATCAGTATCTAACTGACTAGTTAATGGAATTCTAAAACAAAAAAATTAGAAAAAAAAATTTAGTATAAAAAAAAAAAGGTAATAATTCAAGTAAAGAATAATAAATTAATAAAGATTATCAAAAACAAAAAATAATTATGTTTTAAAAATAAAAACTAATAAATTATCAGGCAAAAGAAATTAACAAATAAAAAAAAAATTTCTGAAATACAAAATAATTTTTTTTTTGATTTAAGCTCTGCAAAAATATATAGAGATTTATAAACAGATAGAGTTCAATAAACAGACATAGCTGTATAGATTTGAAAAAGTATAGATATGATTAATAATTTGATGAGATATTACTTACATGTTTTCATATATATGCACATACCAACTGCGTGTACATTGAATTATAGATATATGTTTGTAGAATTATTAGTATAATCCAATAAAAATCATATTAACTAAAAGCCTTACATCTTACCTGCTTAGTTCATAAAAATGAACATCAGCACCATATTGAATGAAGTCATCAAGTAAACTTAAAGGGCTTCGAGTTCTACAAGTATGTTTACAATCAATATCTACAACATCTGAATCTTTTCTAGTAGGTTTAACTGTTAATTCCACAAACATGTCCTTTATTGTGGAGAACAATGGCATACTTGACGGTACATCACTAAATGAAATTGAATCATTAACTTGATTTAATGAAATTGATGTTTCCTTATCATCTGCTAGTGGCATATTTATTTTTGATTCAACTATTGATTCTTCTTTTAATTTTTTTTCGGATAAGGGAGATACAACATTATTTGAGCTAAAAACAAATTGTTGGTTACATTTAACCATTGGACTAACTGGTGCTGATTGTACATGTAATTGGTCAGATATTCCAAGACTCAATGTTTTAGCAAGATCTTTCTTTACAATGAGTCCTTCTGTGGAGCAAGGTCTTTTTGATTGAGATTTCGAACTACTCATTCTTGGAGATCCTTGATCTAATGGAGTTGAATGAGTCGCTGTGTTGGACATCCATCTTTTTACTTTAGTTTTTGGCACATTTTCAAAGTTTTTAAGCTTAAAACTCGGAGAATCTCGAGACGATTCACCAGAAGACTTTCGTTCCAGAAGATTTTCAATTAAATTAGGAATGCTACTAATGGATTCATTTTCAGAATAAAGAGGTTTAAAACTGTTCACAGACAAACAATCATGAGCACTGTTACTTGGGGACATTGGCCTAGACAAAGCAGGGTTAGATAAACCACATAACTCTGATGGATTGCAGAGAGATAATTGACTACTTGATATATCAAGCAAAGCTGCATTTATCTGTTGTTCCTGATTTTGGGAAACTTTTGATTGGTTTCCATGATGTTGTCTAAAATATATTTCATTTTTTTTTGGAGTTAGTTCAGAGGGCAATGTTTGTTTTATATCAACAATATATGTTGCTTCTTTAATAGCATCAACAGGATCAAGTGAGATTTTAGCACATTCTGCAATAATATCATGTGGTTGGTATATTTTCCATCTAAAAACATTTCAATATATAATTGGGAAAAATAAAAATAACAATTTTTTATTGTTAAAATCAAGATCTAAAATAAATACTTCTCTATTCGTGTTTCAGATTTCCTTGTCTCCGTAATTAAATCTGAATGAAACTTCACAAATTCAAACATAGGCTATATAAAAGCAAAAAAGAAAAAATTAATACAGAGCATTGAAAGCATAAAAAAACATCAGATAATATTTATTTAAATAAACAAACATAACTATTTTTTTAACTTGTTTTGTATTTAACCCTTATGTAACTGAGCATACAACTATTTCATTTATTGTGCTTTGCAATAAAAAATGTTTTCAAAAAAATCAGCACTAGCAGCAAAGAAAAACAAATTATTTTGCTAAAAAACTACAAACTTATCATAAATTAACATAAACTAACATCATTTTAATGCAATTAGTTAGTAGAAAGCTTCAAGTTTTAAAGGGTTTATTTTATAACTGCCTAAAATTTAAATTAATGCTTTGATATTTTGGTCACCTGCATATTAACTATCGACTTGTTGTTGGTTGCCTTATAACAATTAAGCTTTGTTGCGTACAGTTGGCAACAAACATCAGATTTTTTCGATTGTATTGAGGAAGTTTAAAGCTTTTTCATTTTATTCTACCTCCCTGCCAAAACTTGATGCGGAGTTGAACTGCTTGTAACACAAGCATATGTAGTAATAATATATGAGCCCATTATACTGTTTTCATAATGTTTGCAAAGTTTAATGTTAGTTTATAATAAGCTAATATTTATTAGTTTATAATAACTTTTCCTATTTTCAATATGTATAGTCTGTTCTAATTTTAATCTGTATAATTAGTTTTAACTTCATATATTATATAGTTTGACAGTTTTACTGTCAAACTATATAATATGTTTTAACTTCTGTATAGCCTTGTCTAAATTCAATCTGTTTCAGTCTAATTTAATCTTAATCTGTATCTGTATGTTTTAATTTCAATCTGTTTTAGTCAATTCTAATTTCAATCTGTTTTAGTCAATTCTAATTTCAATCTGTTTCAGAAGTGACCTCATTGATGGGAACCTAAAACCATTCTTAAATTTATAAAACAATAACAACCATTAATTTAAAGTTTTAAAGAACATGCAAGACTAGTTTTCATATTAAATGTTTGGCACTGTTCATTTAATTAATCAATTAATTATTATTTACATAGAATTTAATTTTTATCGTTTTTTCATTCCTAACTTTATTACAAAGTATGAAATAAGTTTTATTCTGAAATCTCAATTAAAACGTTGTTAATATTCCGCTAAAAAAGTTTTCTTAAAAAAAAGATATCTTACTATTTACTTCATTTAAAATTTTATTTAAAGTTAAATAAAAAACCAAAACTCAGAAATAACTATTTTATCTAAAAGTATTTGTAGTGAAACATTAACTAGTTAAAACATTTCTTTTAGTTACTATATTGAAATGATTCCAAATGCATTGGCTTTTTAACTATTTTGTCAAATACAAATTACTTACCCGAATTACATTCTGAAAAGTTAAATTATTTTTTTGCTCTCCAAAATTTGATTTCATGTAAGAGGTGAAATTATTAGGATACATGGTGTACAAACGATGAAAAAATATATATAACCCAATTCGTAAATGTAGAACAAATACTTCTGGAATATCTCCTATAAATAAGTACTAAAAAGATTACAAATAAACTTCAAAATATAAAGATAATTAAAAATATAATGTTAAAATCTATTTATAATATTCAATTTAAAAAAAATTTATATGAACTCAAATCTATAACACAAAAGTTCACAAAATAATTAAAAGAAACATAAATTCAATGAAATATTAAAGTAACTTAAATTAAACAAAGCACGGTGCTTAAGAAGATGCTCTGAGACCTTGCAACACATCCCCAGAATTTTTTTTTGTTTATTATCAGAAGACTCTTCCTTATTTCAAAAATGTAAAAAAACAACTTTTTTTACCGAGGGCCTAAGGAGAAATCACGTATTTTAGGCGAGTGCCTAGTAATTTTGTTGTTCAAGATAGGTAACTAAGAGCTATGCGGCATACTCAAATTTTTAGTATGTTAATACTGGTATCAAATGAGGATGAATTGCAAAAAGTTTAGGTAATTGGAGCTAGCTCAACCTTGTTCGAAACCGAATTGCTCCTTCCCTAGAACTACGTCTCCTAAGCTAATAAATTTTTTTTCAAGATCTATCATAAATTAGACCAAAGTTTATCAACAGATTTCAAGTTTCATCAAAAAAATATCTTTTTGTTAAAGATTTATGACCATAAGAAGTTCCAAATTCCACAAATTTACCCTCTTGAAATAACTTTGAATGGTTGTAACTTTTAAACTAGAAATTGTTTTTTAATAAAATTTTAAAATCTGTTGATGAATTTTGATCTAGTTTAATATAACACAAAAAAAAATTGAAAAATTCTATTGGGGAGCCATACACTAGGGGTGGGGCATTAGGAGTACGATAGGGTTAACTACAACTACTTTATGGTCGTAAAAAAAAAAAATTCTGGTCTACTTGGTTAAATTATTATTTATATTTTGCATGTCATATTTAATCATATCATATATTAAGAAATTATGTTAAACAATTTTTCATAAAAGGTTAATGTTATACTTTTTAAAAGCTACCTGCAAATTGAAAGCTACTTTAAAAGTGTTTGTAGTTGTAAGCAACAATTGCATTTTTTAGCGCTTCAATATAGTTTGGACTGTGTTCTCTAACTTTTGTCATTCCCCTAAACTGATTGAAATCTTGGCAAATGGATTCCAGAGCTTGTTTGGTCTAGTAACCTAAGCGTACAGAATATAAAATGCACAAAATAAGTTTTAATCTATTTAATGAATAATCGTTATAGTTTATGCAAGTTTAAACTTGCATAAGTTGTTGTATTATTGTAATAATAAGTATTTAATTGCTTTTATTATAATTAAATAATATTAATTTAATCTTTTGTCAAACTTAAAATTTATTTATCATACTGAAGACTGCACCTTTCATATCTATGAATTTGATAATATGTTGCTCAACTATGTGCACTTTCAAAGGAATTGTAGCCCCTAGATTTCTATAACTCGTAGACAACTACTCTATATCTTTGACCTAAGTAGAGCTTAATGAATTTCCAAAACAGCCATAGACTACTTTTTCAAAATCTCTAAGTACCTTAATATATTTGGATAAGGGATCTCCAAGACTGGACTCCTGAAAAAAACATCTCAAAGCTGTCTATGTTTTTAAGCAACTTATTGCAAGATTGCCTTCTAAACGATGCTGCCCTTGGTAGGATACTCTTCAGATGTTTATTGTAGACTATCGGTTGACAAACTGTAACCCACACTCTTTGTTTTTGAGCAAATTGTTTTTAATATCTTTTAAAATTTTGTCTATAACACCTACAAGTATATGTAGACTGGGGATATTAACAAGCTTTATTATTTTTTTATTTTTGTTCATGTTAATAAAGGGGATTGAACAACATTTGTGAACATTTTTGCATTTTTTAATTTTGCACCATCAGATATCTATCGGTCAAAATGGTCTGTATAATATAATATATTATTCTGGCCATTTTGCTCAATTTTAATTATAAAATAGTTGTTTATAAGGAGTCATAACTTAAGAAAATGATATACTTTAAGTAACTTTTTTTACTGTAATAAATTTTAGATTGTAAGTTTTATTTTTTGCCAACTATATAGTAATAATATAATAATAATAGTAGTAATAATGATAAAATAGTAAATTATATTTTTGATAACTAGATTATATATTCTATATGGAGTTTATTTTCAGATAACAATCGTAGAAAAAGATAAAGATATTATATAAAGACAATCGTTATAGTTTATGCAAGTTTAAACTTGCATAAACTATAACAATTACTCATTAAATAGATTAAAACTTATTTTGTGCATTTTATATTCTGTACACTTAGGTTACTGGACCGAACAAGCTCTGGAATCCATTCACCAAGATTTCAATCAGTTTAGGCGAATGAAAAAAGTTAGAGAACACAGCCTAAACTATATTGAAGCGCTAAAAAACGCAGTTGTTGCTTACAACTACAAACACTTTTAAAGTAGCTTTTAATTAGCAGGTAGCTTGTAAAAAGTATAATATGAAAAATTGTTTAACATAATTTCTTAATATATGATATGATTAAATATGACATGCAAAATATAAATAATAATTTAACCAAGTAGACCAGAAATTTTTTTTTTACGACCATAAAGTAGTTGTAGTTAACCCTAATGCCCAACCCCTAGTGTATGGTTCCCCAATAGAACTTTTCAATTTTTTTTTTGTGTTATATTAAACTAGATCAAAATTCATCAACAGATTTTAAATTTCATTAAAAAACAATATCCAGTTTAAAAGTTACGACCATTCAAAGTTATTTCAGAGGGTAAATTTGTGGAATTTTGAACTTCTTATGATCACAAATCTTTTACAAAAAGATATTTTTTTGATGAAACTTGAAATCTGTTGATAAATTCTAATTTATGATAGAACTTAAAAAAAATTTATTAGCTTAGGAGACGTAGTTCTAGGGAGGGAGCAATTCGGGGTTGGACAGGGTTGGGCTAGCTCCAATTACTTAAACTTTTTGCAATTCATCCTCAATTGATACCAGTATTAACATACTAAAAATTTGAGTATGGCGCATAGCTCTTAGTTACCTATCTTGAACAACAAAATTACTAGGTACTCGCCTAAAATACGTGATCTCTCCTTAGGCCCCCGATGAAAAAAGTTGTTTTTTACATTTTTGAAAAAGGAAGAGTCTTCTGATAGTAAACAAAAAAAAAATTCTGGGGATGTGTTGCAAGGTCTCTGACATCTTCCTAAGCACCGTAAAAGGACACAGTGCTGTATGCAAATGAAACATAAATCCAATGAAATCTTAAAGTAACTTGAATTAAATAAATGCAATGAAATCTTAAATTAACTACAACAAAGGAGTGTTGTATGCAAATAATAGAACTTAAATTAAATGACTATGCATCTAACTTTTTTATTTTCATTTGATAGAAAGAACTTCCTTACTCAGGGTTTTGTCATTTGATAGAAAGAACTTCCTTAATTTTTAATTAAGTTTGTTTATAAGCAAAAGAGTCCAAAACAATAAATAAATATTACTTTCTAACTAACATTGTCCACCCTACTCGTATCTGAAAAACATAAAAAAAATTAATAGACAACATCTTTTCAAATAAATATAAATGGAATAAATATAAAGCAGGGAATCTTAGCACCACAATCTCAGATCATCTTGCCTAATTTCTGATAGCTTTTAATATACTCTTAAACCACCACCTAACAAAAAGCTCCTAATCCAGGAAAGAAATCAGAAAAGTTTAAATGAAGTGTCAATTAGAAAAGATTTTTACAAAATTAGTATTGACAGAGAACCAAAAATATACCCTGATAATTGTACTCAGTCTCTTGAGAATACTATTTCCACGCGCCTTTTAGAAAGCTTAACAAACAAAATATTTAATTCAAGACTAAACCATGAATATCAGATAAACTCAAGCATTCTATACAGCACAAAAACAATCTCTTTAAAAAATATATCAGGTCTAAAAATCAAACAAATAAAACCATACTCCATAATGAGTATAAAACATTTTGTAATACCCTCTAATCTAAACTCAAAGAAAGCAAAAAAAGTTATTATGATAATTATTTTATTGAAAACATAAAAAATAAAAAAGCAACATATAAAAAACATCATTAATGTTAAAAGTAACTCTCAAACAACTTCTATATAATCGTACATAACAATACAACAATAACAAATCTCTTTGATATTTGTAATGCTTTCAACAACTACTTTACATACACTGGTAAAGATGTCCAGACAACACTTCCTTCATCCATGAATCATTTTGCATATTACTTATCATATCCTTCTTTAAAATCTTTCTTTATAAAACCTCCTGACAAACATGAAATTTCAAAAATCATCAACTCTTTAGATGCAAATAAAGCTTCTGGACCAAACGGTCTACCAGTTAAAACTTTAAAACTATTTAAAAAGGAACTCAAGAATCTTTTCTAACATTTTTATTATCTCATTCTCAAGTAGTATTTTCCAAGAAAACTTAAAAACTGCAAAAGTTATTTTTAAAAATTATTAATATCAAACTATAGGCCAATTTCCCTCTTCAACATTGACAAAATTTTTGAAAGGCTAATATTTAACTGTTTATATGAATTCTTCAATGAAAACAAACTGTTTTTTGAATTACAATTCGGTTTTCAAATAAATTACTCTACATCACTTGCTTTACTAAATCTAATAGTCTAAATAGAAAAAATTAAAAATTCTCTGGATAAAAGAATGTTTAGATGTGGTATTTTTATTGGCAAACATAAGTATTATGAATTGCCTATTTATCATGCAGAAAAAAACAGTCTGGATTATTGAATTTCTACCAAAACATTTTAACTAAACTTTTATTTATTAATGAACAATAAATTTTTTTAAACAATCTGTTAACGTTCAAAAATTATGACTATATAAAGCTTGAACCCTCTCAATTTGATATATTCACATATACAGTAATGGACAAAACATTTGCAACCAACATCGAACAATGCTCCTAATTTTACTTGTCTTAAAAACAAAACAAACTATACTACCACAGCAAACAGTTCAGGAGTCTGGAGTCATAGCATGTTATGACATGAGCAATCAGCTGACAGCACACAGGCAGAATTTTGTTGACAAGTACCATTTTGCAGCGGACAAAACAAGTTCAACTTTTTTGGTTTGTTTTATTTTCTTAGGTCTGGTCCGTGTCAACATCGTTTTTTAATAATTAAGGGAAGTATCCAGAAGTTTCCAGAAGAAGCATCTGGAAGCATCCAGAAGTATCCAGAAACATTCAGAAGCATCCAGATGCATCCAGAAGCTTCCAGAAGCATCAAAAAGAAGCATCTAGAATCTTCCAGAACAGGTTCACACAGGTTCATTTTACTATATAAGAGACATGTAAACCGACATGTAATTCAGCCAGTATATGGAAGTCAATCAGTTAGTCAGATCAAAGAACATCAATACAAGAAGTGAAATACAACAAGTGTTTATTACATCAATACAGTCCACATCCAACCAAGACGTTGTGTTCCACAGAACATTATTGTATCATCACAAGGTAAATGTAACAGGGTAAGCCTTGAGAAGCGTGATTTATTATTTTTATGACTTTAAGTGCAAAAATGGCTCCCGACAGTCTTGGATTGGAACTAAGAAAGAAAATTATTGGCAATTATGTAAGTGGAATGTCAAAAAAAAGTATTTAAGCCGGATTGTTTTCTTGACACCCTGCAAAGAAACCGCTGATTTCACTAAAGAACCAGAAGAAAAGATTCCTGTTTGCTACATCTCATATTGACTGGAATGCGCAGAAATGGCGACCTGTCATGTTCGGTGATGAATCGAAGTTCAACATCATTGGGAGCGATGGGATTTGCCGTGTACGTCGACCGGCCGGAAAACGCCTTGATTTACATTACTGCCATAAGACCGTGAAGCATGGTGGAGGCAATGTAATAGTCGGGGGATGTTTTTCTGCTAACGGTCCAATACATCAAATCGATGGAATAATGGACCGTTTCCTGTATAAAAATATTCTGAAAGATGTTATGTTACCTCATGCTAAATGGAATATGCCAATAAAATGGGTTTTTCAGCAAGACAACGATCCGCAACACACTGCAAAAGTAGTCAAGCAGTGGTTTCAAGACAACCACCTATTGGTAATGGATTGGCCGCCTCAATGTCCGGATCTCAACTATATCGAGAACTTGTGCTAGATCGCCAACCGCTGAAATAATCGTGAAAGTGTTTGTATAAGGATCAACTGTTTGAACAAATCCAAAAGGCCTGGGCAGCGATTCCACAAAGTTTCATTGATCACCTAATCGAATCTATGCCTCGAAGATGCAAGGCTGTGATCGACAACAAAGGATTCACCACAAAATATTGATAGCAAAATACAGCTAGGTCAACATTTTGTGGAGTTGCACTTGTTTTGTCCAGAAGGAAATTAACTTTTTTTAATACTTTTGATTAATTTATTAATTTTTGTGTACAAATAATGAACTTTGTGATGAATAAAACTTGAAGAGCGTTGTCTCTAAACAGTTACATAGTTATTTCTCTACATAGTTATTTCTCTAAATTGAAAAAATGCAGCACTTTTATATAAAGAAACTAAATTAGCATTATTTGGTGCACTTGTTTTGTCCAATACTGTATAAGTGCATATATATCTTTTATATGCGTATGTATATATGCATATAAAAGATATATATATATAAATATATGTGTGTGTATCTATATATGTATATATATACATACATATTATATATATATATATATATATATATATATATATATATATATATATATATATATATATATATATATATATATATATATATATATATATATATATATATATATATACATATATATACTATTGTGTATATAGATAACAAAATGTTACTAGATTTTTCTATCTTTATAGCATATGGCATTTTTAGAAAAAAATGAAAAAAAATATTGCTGCCCCATGCTATATCCTCGGTCAATATAGTGACACTACTTTGCGGCAGCAGGCTATAAGATAGTTAATATTCAGATTCACACTGAAGTAGTTGCCACCATCAGGCTATTTCAGTGTGACGCAATATATGTTATCTAAAAACACATATATATATATATATATATATATATATCAGGCTTGGTCGGGAAGCGGGAGCGATCGCTCTCGAATACTGACCACTAAAATTATATTTAGTTGCATAAAAGTGGCCAGGTTTTTTAGTAGTTTTGAGAACATTTAAGTTTATGTACAAAACAAAAAATTTTTGTTTTACGGACATACATGGAAACATAAAAAACTTGAATGTTCTCAAAACATCTTTGTGCGAAAGAATAAAAAGAATATTTGTGAACACTAAAAACCCGCCCAATTAACGAACAAACTAATTCTATTGGTTCAAAAAATACGCTGATTAAGCGAAATAAAGTTCTAGAGTATTCTGTTAAAATGTTTTAGAAATTGTATTATACACGATTTGTTACGTTTTGAGATTTCTAGCATTGCTTTAACAATATATATTATTTGTTTACAAAAATAAATGTTTTAAATATATATTAATTAAATTTTTAAAATTTTAAAAGTTTATTATAAATCATAGATTTTATTAGTATATTCTTATTTTTTATTTTAAAAAAGATTGTATTCTTTATGTAAATGTAATTTTGTGTATTTGTTTTTTATCGTAATGTATCTTTTAAAGCAATTTTTATGATTTAAACAAAGACTTACAAAAATAATTGCGTTTTCTATGAAGTTATAATCGTTAAAGTTAATAAAACTAATTATGTAACAAACATATAAGAAGTTTCTGGTTACTAAACACAAACAACGCATACAAAGTAACTCACGGATGAACAAGCATCGTGCCTGAGGTCACGACAGAACACAAATATATATAGCAAATAATTAGATATAAAGAAAAGTTTCTAGATATTGGTTTACTAACTCTAATTATTTTCGCTTAAGTTGCCATTCTTAAAACTCGTTATACTTTTTTCTGCTTTAAATACTAATTAAAATTAAAAAGCCCACTCACTAAACATCATCAGCGATATTGTGAAGCAGTTTCGCTTCCTGGTCATTAAGTATTTTTAACCTTTTTAGTTGATCTCTATCTTGATTATTTAATTCCTATAGTAATTTAATGATTTAATTATTTCATTTGTTTATCTTACTAAGAAGAATTGCTTCAAATATGTTAAACTTTTCAAACTACGTGAAACATAAAATAGGTATTAAAAAAATTAACTTTTTTATTTATAAAATAATTTAGCTTAAGAAAAAATAAAACTTGCAAACTTAGTTAAATAAAGAATATTTGTTTCCCTTTTAAAAAAAAACCATGCAGGTGATCTGATATGATACATATTTTTACATATTATTTCATTATCTTCCAAAAAGTTAATAAAAAAAGGATGTTACTTCTAATGGAAACCTAGTGCTACTACTTAAGTGTAGTACTTAAGCATAATTTGAAGCAACAACTAGTAATATCAAAATATGACTATATGGTAATGTGATTTTTAAATGCAGTCTATTATATATATATATATATATATATATATATATATATATATATATATATATATATATATATATATATATATATATATATATATATATATATATATATATATATAAATGATTAAACTTTTTATGACTATACCTAAGCCTCTTTTAGTATATTTTAGTAACTTTAAGAGTTGACACAAAAATACAAAAACAAAAAAATACACTTAGCATTTGGAAATTACAAATATTTTAGCTATATGTAAGTTATCTCAGCAAAAACTATCTTTTAATTTGAACAGCTTAATTCGACACCATGTAAGCAAGTATTTGTTTTAAAATTTGTTTGTTTTTTTAATTTAATTTTCAATTTTGCAGCTGTTTAATAAATGCTGACCTTTGTTAGTGAATATTTATAATAATTTTTTCAAATATATTACTTGAAAAATTTAAACAGCTATTTAAATTTTTATAAAAAGGTTCATTTCCTTAAACATGTTCTTTATACCAAAACCTAACTTATTTAGGTTTTGTGTAAACAACTAAAATTCTAATCCCTCTTTTACTTATTAACATCAACATATAAATAATAAGACAAAAAATTAATAGAAAAAAAATAAAAACAAATTGTAAACAACAACAACAAAAAAAGATGCAGAAAAATAACTTTTTAAACTAGTTAAAGTAAAAAAACTATTTATAATATAATAACTTTTAAACAACTAATAAAATAAATAAACTATTAAAAAAAAATGTCTACCTGATTTATTAACTAGCATTCCAGAAGTTCTAACAAACACTTCTAAAACATCCCCAAGATGTGGACCTATAGCTGCTGGCACAGATGGTAATAAAGAACAAAGAGTGATTATACCTGTCATTATAAAAACGACACCATTTTCATTCTAAAAAAAATAACACTTTAGTTACTTAAAAAATGCTATTATCAATAAATTATTATCATAAATATCTATTATCATAAATTAGATTTGAATAAATATCTTAACATATATAACTTAGAAATAAAAAAACAACACTCAGTTTTACTGAATTATAATAAGTTCAAAAAAACTTGATTCAATAAAACTATTGCTGTGTACACAAAGAGACATGAAAAAAAAGTCAAAAAAGTGGCCGAGATTTGAAGAAGACACAGGACTTCTTTTTTGAAAAATTTTTTGTCTGTGGTACAATATTTGTCTGGTTTGGGTAAGTTTCCAAAATTTCATTTTCTTATTTAAATATTCTAGATGAGTCTTTTAGAATAACATTTTGACATCACTAATTCATTTAACACCTTACCTTCCCACTAAACAAAACATGTAAACTGTAAACAAAAACATAAACATAAAAAACTTTAACTTATTTAAATAATTTATTTATGTATTATTTATTTAATAGATTATTTATACTTATGAAAAAAACCATTAAAATAATCAAATTATTCTTTTAAAAAAATACAAAAATGCAACCTATAAACTTTGTTTTATAATTAAGAATGTTTTTATTGTATTGTTTTTGTTATTTTACATTATTTCGTTTTCTTTAAAGTCATGATTTCTATTTTTGTTTTATAAACTAAATCACTTAAGGATAAAAGCAATGAGAATACATCTATTAACTGATTCATTCAGCCATTATGCACACAGTGGAGTATACCAACTGAGGATTCTGGTTTAGGCAGTCAACCTACTAATAAAAAGTCTATTTTTAAACTTTTTCTGATCGTTGTTTTCAACTATGAAATAAAATTAAAGTATGTATTACTTTATCTTTAATATCAACACTATGTATTTAGGCTAAGAAATAAGATGTCGTACTGAAACAGGTAGCTGTGAGGACTTCAGTATATACATTTTTTTTTTTAACAATAACTTTAAGACAAAATCAATGCATTTTTTAAAATGAAAATATTCAACATTACCATGTTTATCAGCTAATGGTAATAGTTTAAAATTACTCTTCCGCGCACAGATTTCCATTCAATTTTAAAAAAAAAGTTTGATACCATCCAAGTAATTTAATTTTGAAATTTTTTTGAATATGAAAACAATTTTTGTAAAACATCGAAAAAAAATTTAAACTGAATACTTAGTACTAATAGAAATTGTTTTTTGAAGTATAAATGAAATATAACAATTACTTATGTTACATAAAACAGAGTTTTTAATAAAAATATATTTTTGAAAATATTTTGGAAAATATGCTTTTTCCAAAACATGAATAATAAAAAAAAAATGTGCAGACACATAACTGATAGTTTTAAATTTATTTTAAAACATATTTATTCATTATTATGTTTATTCCTTGCAATAATTTTGCAAATGGCGGGAAAAACTAAGAGAAAAATAAATGAATAGATTAAATAACCAAAAAAAAAGTACAGTTGAAAGAAAAAATGTTCTTAGTTATGTACCACAATTTCAAATAATAACAAAATAATAACTTCAATCTTTAAAGTTAACAATGTTAAAGAAAAATAATTACAGATTTTATCTCTGCTCATTAAAATCTTTTTAAAAACTGCTAATGTTAAATAGTTAATAATTTTATCAACTCATATGCGCAGCTATTGAAATTGAATACTTAATAAGCAGAAGACAATAGGTTTATGAAACACTACTATAAAAACTACTAACATTACATAAAAAAAGATTTTTACTAAATGTATATACTTTTTAAGAACCCTATTATAGAAAAAAAAGCTCCAATACGCTAATAGTAATTTTAAATTTTTCTATAAATCATTCATTCATTTATTGCAATTTGCGGCAAAAACTTATAAATAAGTAGAAATAAGTATAAATAAGAGAATATTTATATATACATATATATATATATATATGTATATATATATATATATATATATATATATATATATATACATATATATATATATGTATATATATATATACATATATATATATGTATATATATATATATATATATATATATATATATATATATATATATATATATATATATATATATATATATATATATATATATATATATATATATATATATATATATATATGTACATATATATATGTACATATATATATGTGTGTGTGTGTGTGTGTCGATATGGCTATATGTATCAAAAGTTTATAGAGATTCAATAAAACTTTTTTTCTTGGGTATACCATTTTAAAAGACTTAATTCATCAAGGCACAATAATCCTAAGACAGCAAAAAAATTGAATGTGAATGTTGTTCAACGCATTTAGAAGCCATTTTGTTTTTAATGTTTTTTATTACTTATCAACAATCTTATCTTTTTACAACAAATTTGTTTACTATATATAGTATTTAAAAATTAAACTTGTGACTCTTGTCAACAATTAGTGGTCGTTATACAAAATGTTATAATAATAAAAAATCACAACTTGTGACTTTTGTCAATAATTAGCACGCTAATTATTAATGACGCACAACATCCCCCTTAGCTCAACAAGAGCTCATACGTAATCGTTGTACTTCCGATTAGGAAGTACTCTCCTTCCATAGCGAGTGAATTGAACAGGCTGTGACTCTGTTTCACCATCTGTTGAATAGTTTTGATCGCTGCTCGTACTATTGTCATTTTTACCATTATCCGGAGGAATTATTTGAAGATTTGGATCATCATTGACAATGTGTTTTGAGCTCGTTTCGGGAAGTTTAAATAGTGTTGAATCATAATCATCTGTTGTATCTTCTTCTTTTGTGTCTACACGACGATGTTTCAGATGAGAAAAATGTCGTGGTAACGTATGTCCGTTGACATCGACTTCAGCTGTTAAATCATTATGCAATGCCACTATACTTCCTTTCAGCCATCGTTGCGTACACGGCGTTACGTGCTTGGGTTTCACCCACACTTTGTCGCTAACTTTCCATTCACGACACTCTGTCATTAACTTTTGTGTTGATTCGATTTTATTGATTCCAGGAATTCGAACTCGTTTGTGATGTTGGCAAAATATTTCAAAAGGTGTGCCGTATTTTGATGGAACGTTATTGATTAAAAATACAGACATGGGAATACCACATTTTACTCTTGCATTTGTTCTTTTTACCGTCCGATGAACTCTTTCAACTATTCCATTTCCTGATGGTTTTTCAACAGCTAGATAGATGAGCCTTATTTCCCATTTCGCAGCCATAGTTTGCATAAGCTGAGATCTAAATGACTTAGAGTTATCTAGAAGAACTTCAGAAGGAGGTCCAAATGTTGACCATATTGTTTCTAACGCTTGAACAACCATAGTTGCACTTTCGTCGCTTAATGGTGTCCATAACGTATATCTGCTTGGGCCGCAATCAATACAAGTGAGATATAGCAATGAATCAACATGAGTAACATCGCAGGCTACTCTTTCCCATACTCTTTCCCATAGTTGTTGGTACCCATGTAACAGTTACATTTATGACATAATCCTCAACCAATTTTTCAAATATTTCTTTATTCTTTAAATAAGTCTTCGTCGAATTAACATTCCGCATTGCCCAGCACATTTCACGGGTTTGTCACGAGTCAATTCAGAATTTAACCAACTAAATACACTATGAGAATCAGTTTTAATGGAGACATCACTTGGATCCCATTTTAATGCCATATTTAGACCTTCAATACATGCATTTAATTCGGCCACATTGATATGCATTGCATTAGACTTTGGTCGAAGCCATGTCGCAACACGAAGTTTCGATGACAACTCAATCAAAGAATTACACAATTTCAGTTTTCCAGTGCCAATTTGTAGTCCATCACATGTCTTTTTTAAGTCCATACCCATAATCATGTCGTATTTGTTTATTACTTCATTCACACTCAGAACCACCACATCCACCAAGCACCCGTTTGTTGGGTGGCATATTTTAGCACTAGCTTCTTCGCATCGAATTATTCCGCCCATTGTTGCAACATTTACTACACGAATCACTTTATATTCAGGCGGCAGAAACTTCTTGGTGATGATTGATTGTGAACAACCAGTATCCACAAGCGCTGTAGCTTTTCTTCCGTTTATTACCAAGTCAATAGTAGGTAGTCTTGTTTCGGGACGAGTTCTTGTAAAGATACCTAATGCGAACTCGTCCCATTTAAGTTTTCCTGGTTTCTTTGACGTTTGTAGCAGTCTTTTGCAGCATGTTTATGCAAGCATTTTTTGCATAAAGAGGTACATTCACGTGCAAAGTGATTTAAGGATTCACAGTTGTAACATCGAATTTCTTTCTTTCTTCGTGTATAACTTGTCGTTCCAGTCGTCCGGTGAATCGCATTTACTTCTTCATTCACAGATAAACATGCCGCATCTAATCTTGTTTGTGCAACCACGAATGCAGTCTTGACACAATTGTCAAAGCTCAATGCATCGTCTCCCCGAAGAATGGCACACAGAATGGCACCATCATTAATGCCAATTATGAATTGGTCACAAAGTCAGCAGTCTCTCTCTGAGGGCAAGAACTTGCAGTCTTGAGCTGCTCGAATCACTTGATGCGCGATTGTCTGTACAGATTCTTCAGTACCTGGGTAAATTTTTCCAAACTCATACCGTGAGATTAACGATGATTTTCTTATTTCCAACGTTTCCAATTTCGTTACCAATTCTTCGTACGAAACATCCTCTGGAACTTCCGGTGCTGTTAATTCTTCCATGGTCTTGTAAGTTTTTAACGGCAGAGCGGCAAGCAAAAACGCTACGTGTTGATCTGAAGTTATATTGTTTATTGCAAAGAAGGAAGTCATCTGTCGAATAAATCGCTTTGGCTGTCCATCTTCATATTGCATATATAATAGACATGCCTGGTTAATTGTTGTTCAACGCATTTAGAAGCCATTTTGTTTTTAATGTTTTTTATTACTTATCAACAATCTTATCTTTTTACAACAAAATTGTTCACTATATATAGTATTTAAAAATTAAACTTGTGACTCTTGTCAACAATTAGTGGTCGTTATACAAAATGTTATAATAATAAAAAATCACAACTTGTGACTTTAGTCAATAATTAGCACGCTAATTATTAATGACGCACAACAGTGAACATTTTGCAATTAAAATTAGGTTATTTTTAATTGCAAAACTAGCAATTTGTATAAAAAAAAACAAATGACATTTAAAAAAAAAAGTTTTAGTTTATTTAATTTTCATAACTCTGGTACTACCTCGCTAAATAATAGGGACTCCCCATTCAGTGCTGCCAAGAGGGATGGGGGGGGAGGGGTTAAGGTTGCGAGTGACAGTTTGTCCTAGGCGGCAGATATCCAAGGTGTGCCAAATGAAAAGAAGGCTATAGTATAGGGAAAATTTGATAAATAAAAGCGCCAATCAGGGTTGCTGTACCAGGCCGCGTGACGGCTCTCGGCGGCCATGTCCCCATTTATTTTAACACACATTAACAAAAATCTCCTCTTTTTTAATAATTGTCATATGGCAATTATATATATATATATATATATATATATATATATATATATATATATATATATATATATATATATATATATATATATATATATATATATATATATATATATATATATATATATATATATATATATATGGCATATATATATATATATATATATATATATATATATATATATATATATATATATATATATATATATATATTATATATATATATATGGCAATATATATATATATATATATATATATATATATATACATATATATATATATATATATATATATATATATATATATATATATATATATACATATATATATATATATATACATATATATATATATATATATATATATATATATATATATATATATATATATATATATATATATATATATATATATATATATATATATATGTATACATGTAACAGCATTATTTAGCATTAACCTAGCATATTATCATAGTGCAGAAGTAAATAAAACTTTAAAGAACAAACCTTTAGATATTTTAGGAATGTAGCAAAAAGAGTTGTATTGACTAATCTGTGTAACCAAGATGGCTAAAAATATGATTTAATATATAAAATGTCTAAAATAATTTAAAATAAAGTAGCCTTGTTATCAGTTTGTTTTTAAAATCTCATGGGACTTTTTACTAGTCCAGTAGGTAGTAACATAAAATTTTAAAAACAAATTGAAATCTTTATTATTAGCGTATTTTTCATTTTCTGTTGCTTTTCGTAAAACTTTGTTGCATTTTTTTCTGTGTGAATTATTTGAATTTTATGTGTTTTAAAAAAGATCAAAAACAATTATACTTTTTAAATCATATCAAGGTGTGATGTAAATACAGAAATATGTTTGTATTTTTCTTTTTTAAATAACTATTTGAAAACATGACTTTTAGTTTTCCATGTTTAATCAGTTTTTAATCATAAACAAGTGTTAATTTCACACTTTGGCAAAACATGTTTTTCATAAGCCATTTATAGTGGGTTCTGAATTTTTTTTATTACCAAAACATAAAGGTATTTCTAAAAACATAAAAAAGTTTACCTGTTTGCGAACAATTGAAAACAGTAATGTGCAAACTTCCATCAAAGCCCCGTGTTTTAAATGGTCATTCAATTTCTCAAACAAATACTAAAAATATAAAAATAAAAACTTTAGCACAAATTTTTTATTAATTTAATAAATTTATTTGTAAACATTTTATTCGAAACATCATTGAAAAAAATTAAATTTGTATACCACATATGTCATTATTATGTAATAAATCAGGTCAGAATCATCATGATCAACCCTTCTCTACAGGTAACATGTAATCTAGTAGGACAATAGAAAATGAACTTAATCTAGGTTAAAGCTAGGAAATAGAAATTTTAACTTGAAATATCCTGCACCCTTGGCTGAGTAAAGGCTAGATGGTGTCCCAATCTTGAGCAGATATTATCTGCATCTGACTATTATATATAAAAGGTCTTCTATGCAAAGACTTTAGGAGTAAGCAAAATATTTTTGTTAACCAGCCTTGAACTAATTCTACTTCTAATAGGTAGGCATTGATGTAAGCCGGTGTTACATTATTTCCAGCTAAGAATGAATGGTTGATTTTCTTGATTCTACCATGGGTCTTATCAAGGAGTCTTATTAGTAATGGCTAGGTAACTTTTTCTGTTAACTTCTTAAGATACAACTCTAAAGTTAAGTTTATTGGCTCTGAGGCCTTTACTGGTAGTAAAGGGCATATACTTATATATCAATTCATCTATTAAAATGAATTTGAAACCTCCATCCTTTTATATGCTTTTATTTAGCACCTACTCACTTATTCACCTTTCTCTTTGTTATTCATCTTTCTTCTTATAAAATTTCTTGATAAAATTACATTAAAGTTTAATTTGCTACATTATATAATTTAGCAATTAATATACAATTAGAACTCAGCCCACTAAAGACTATTAGTAAAGACATCCAAATCTCAAGCTACTATCTGATGCAGTTGTAACCCTAATGCACCATATAATGCGCAACTACTGCCTATCCAACCACATATCCGTGAAACACCATTTAAATGCATAACTTGCAAACTATTTTAAATGTGGTATAAATTATTAGGTCATTGGCGATGATTTTGTTCTGTAAATGAGGTTTTGTATATTTTGCTTTACCCACTTTCTGGGTAAAATAAAATATACAAAACAAAATTAAGAGCATAAGAATTAGTTGCAAAAGGTTTTATGTGTTTTATGTGTTTCAAAAGCTTTTATGTACCAAAATTAGGAGCACCAGAATTAAATGCAAAAGATATTATGTGTTTTTTTAAATTATTCATAACATTTAGGTTACTGGAAGAAATATCAATACACGGTGGTCTTTAATTTTCTGTTAGTGAAAAAAAAGATTTCTTAAAGCAATAACTCATTTCATCAACCTACTACTCACAACCAAATAAAAGTAAACTATAAATAAATATAATAAACCAAATAAACTTGTATAAATATAATATAACCAAATAAACTTGTAGCTAAATTAACAAAGCGTATCAAGAAAAATAATGTTGGACCAAACAGTGATTTTTATAATAACATTTTTGTGAGAACTATGTTTACATTTAGAAACATATCAAATCCTATTTTTCAGTATTATTTGACTATCAAACTTAAGACTCAATGCCTAAAAGAAATATTAAAAATAAGATATGCAAAGACCTTTAAATCATTTCAAAAATAAATACAATATCTTCCACCACTAAATGACAGAGATGGTGTTTCCATATGAATTAAGAAAGAAACTACCCTAAAAAATGGAATACAATGGAAAATTTGTTAAATGCAAAAAAAAAAGATTAATATTTCATTAAAAATAAAGGGACAGGTCAACTAATTCTGAGAATTAATGAAGTTAAAAAATGAAGTTTATGAAGTTTGATGATATTATGAAATGAAATGATTATTGAAATTAATGAAGTTAAAAAATAAAATTTTTGAAAAAATTTTAGAACTTAATTATACCACACAAAACTGAAGTCATATAAACAAAACCACAAAGGACAGCAGCTTTCATCAGCAGCTTTCACACCACTAGTGTCATTTCATGTATACAACACCACAGTTTAATTATAAAATTTTTTCAAAAACTTTAGAACTTAATTATAACACAAAAAACTGAAGTCATATAAACAAAACCACAAAGGACAAGTTTCATTTAGCAACAAATTAACACCATTCCAAACCAACATCAGCACTATCGCAAATCAGCAATATCGCTACTACCTTTACCATCAACATTAACATCATCACCACTGCTTTCATCAGCAGCTTTCACACCACTAGTGTCATTTCTGTAAAATCTTTATTTACAGACCTACCCCACTAGCAGTGCCACTGTTTTCAAAAACCAAAAATAGAGTAGATCAATTATTAAAGAAATCAACAAAGCTGTGGATTCCAAAAAAATTCTATGAACCAGATTCTAAGAAATCTCTGACAACAAAAAAATTGAAGAAATGAATCTGGGCATTATAATATCAGTTATTCTGTAATCACTGTGTACAAAAAATTGACAAAAAAATAAAAGTAACTTTTTATGAAACTTACAACAGCTTGAGTATCATTGACACCAACCAAAACATCAACTAATCTTGAAGACTTTGTTTGAACATATGTGTCTACCAAAATACCAAGCAGTGCATTGTCGCGAGAACTGTAAAACTTTTCTTGTACAATAGCAACAAAATTCTTCACAACGTTTAAGTCATTAGACTCTAAATACTCTATAATCTCTTGTGCTTCAGCATTTACATGAGCCATTTAGATCAAGTTATTGAAAATCACTAAATAAATTGTTAGGTATTTAAAAAATAATAATTATCAACTATAATTATTATTATTGATAAGTATTATTTTTTAAATACATATAATAATAATAATAATAATAATAATAATAATAATAATAATAATAATAATAATAATAATAATAATAATAATAACAATAATAATAATAATAACAATAATAGCAATAATAATAATAATAATAATAACAATAAATGTTTTGGGCTAAAAAAATTAAAAACTTTTTATATTGATTTATTTTAAACAGTTTTATTAAATTTATTTTTTTTTTTTTTAATTAATAAAGATTAAATTGCATGCAATTTTAATAAAACTATGCATATTTTACTTATAATTCTTTTTTTTTAATTCAAATAATAAAATTATTAATAGTAATATTACTGAAAAATGCATAATTTTGTTATATTGACATGATCTTGAAATTTAATAAAACTACGATAAAATATGAAAATATTGTATTGTAATTTTATTTAATTCGTAGATTATTTGCTGTTTATAAAAAAAAATTGTAAATTAATATATACTTTAAAAACATTATTGCGAAATTTGTTTTATTTAAATTTATTTTAATGAAACAAAAATATTGTTTTTTTGTTTTAATAACACGTGACATATAAGTTGTGATCACAAGTCCGGTAGTTTTATATGGTCTTATATTGTTTTATGGTGAGTTCCACTTATCCGTTTTTAAACAGCAACGGAAAAAGAAAGGGAAAAATAATCGCGTGTGAGCAATACGTATGTAAATTGTATAGATACATGCTCACTTGATTGAGTTTAATATAGAAAAAAAATATTTACATTTTAATCAGTAGAGATGTCACGAATATTCGGTATTCGGCCGATTCGGCAACTTTTTTTACTATTCGGTATTCGGTCGAATATTGCAAATTATTCAGCTAAATATCGAATATAGGCGAGTTTCCACTCATTCGTTTTTTCACGGGAACGGGAAAGGGACGGGAAAAATAATCACGTGGGCACGTAGTATAAGTTTTTATATGCCCAAAGGTAAACTACGCATGCTCACGTGATTATTTTTCCCTTTCATATCCCTTTCCCGTAAAAAAACGGATGAGTGGAAACGCACCTTACCAGATTAAATCAAAAAAAAGATTAAAAAAGAATTACATATAACAATTTAGTTAGCATATTTGATACTTAAAATCTACAGGTGGTAAGTTATGATAAAATTATTTTCATCCGTAGTGGTCTGTGACTGTAAGGATTTCTTGGTGGTAGCTAAAATAAAAGAATAAAACAAAAATTAAAAATTTTCATCATTTGATAATAGCATACGGTGCGGAATTCCTCATAATTATACATACTTCCCTATATAATCACAATATAAACTGCCGCCAGCAAATAATAAAAAATTTTCAGCAAGTTCTATGAGGATAATGTTTTGCGTTTACTGACCATAATTTGTGAGAGTTTGCTGTCCAATCTAAGCGAACAGCTTCATGTAAAAACTAGTTTCATTTGCAATAGGAATTTTCTTGCCCACATCTTCATGTTTTTCATATGTTTTGCAGAGATTAGTTTGATCGTTTTCATTTACATTTCTTTTTCTTACGAAATGGAAATAAACTATTTTATCTCCATTTCGTAGTTTCATGGTACATCGGTGTCAAGTAGCATTTCATTAAGAAAGATTAACCTTTCATTGACTTAATCTTTGATAAAAAAAGATTATGATATGTGTCATAATTCTTTTTTTATGATATATGTGACACACATCGCAATTTTTCTTAGTGGAAGCTCTGTGATATAACAATGAAACGGTCTGTGACAAATAGCGCAGAGCATTAAAAAATTTTTCTTTGATTGGCTCGTTGTTTTTTAATTAACCCTTTGAAAATAGTTTTGTAACGTGCATAAATGAAAAAAGAAACCGTCAAGGTTCTGTAAACCGTAAAATTGACATTCTCATTAAAGTTAAAGCATTCTTTAATTTCAGGTCGTAGTAAAAATATCATTTTTAATAAGTTTGTAGTTCTTTGTGCTATATTTATCTATAAAAGCTTCTAAAATTACCTCTGAAATGCAAGATATACCTGAGCCGGTTATTTTTTTAATTTTTATGAATGGTTTGAAGAGTATGATACTTTTATACGTAGCTATAGTTAAAACAATTTGATGTAATAATCAACAAATAATGCGTGCTGTGGCACAACCTAGCTATTAATAAAACAAAAAACGCCCATAATGTAGTTAACATATGCACTTCAAAGAAGCAAGTAGGAACCCTTAAAATAACACTAAGTGACGCCAAATATTTTGCAATTGAATGTTCGGTGATTCGGCCAGCGCCCAGCTAAATACTTGGTATTTGGCTAAATCACTATTCGTGACATATCTAACATTCAGATTTTCATTGTTTGAAATGACGTCAATTAAAGTCTATATCGATGGCATAGTGCACAGATATGGTAAGTACAAATTTTGGTCAAATTGAGATAAGTACGCAGAAAACCTTTTTTTTGTTCATAGTTTATCGTGCATAAATATGGTATGTGTACAATAAACGATAAAGAGTCTACTAATTGACAATATGTGGTAAATACAAAAACTCTTCTTATTATAAATACGCGCGCAAATGACAGTTTTTACAGTTTTTAATCTTGCACTTACCACATCTGTGCACTATGCCATCGGTATCTTATATAACATTGCTAAACATAATAGTGCCCACTTGTGCGTATTTGACACGGAACGGTTAAGTTGAGTTTCTGGGTCGTGTATAGAACGATCATGTATAATATGAACGATCATGTTTAATAAAAATTTTGAAAATTATTAAAAACTATTAGTCTTTTTTGCTTAAACTGTTTTGTTTTGTATTTAAAAAAGTGTCAAGGTAGAAAAAACAAAGAAAAGTTTTTATGGATAACGGTACAGAAGATAGCGCATTAAATCACTGGGCTACTTGAGTTATATCTCATATTGAAAAACAAATCATTCTAAAAACTTTTTATACCGACTTTAAAATATAATTTTTAAATAATTTCATAAAAATTTATAAAAAATATATTTGAAAACCACAATATTATCACCATGATCGGTTGATATTTAGACAATTTTAAATTGAGTTTCCTCAAAGACAACTTAACCAATTGTAATGATTTTCTTTTTACAATGATGCTTATATAACTAATTTTTATTTCAAAAAAATAAGTATAACTTTAACTTTACGACATGCAAGTAGTTTAATTTTTTGTAAAGTACCCTCCACAATCTCTACAATTTTACTTTGCGCTAGTTTTTTCATTTATCTATTTTCGTAAACCTCGGAAATTTTTAACACTATTTTCACATTTGCTGTTTTTCCTCGATATTTTCTTCGCAATTGCCCAGTAAGATTTGATAACTCGCTGGTCAGAGAGCTTTTAAAACCTCAACTGCAAATGGCCTGCCATACAAGGAACTCGAAAGTGATTTTCTTACTCAAATGTACATAAATTTGTCAGAAGCTTTATAACGTTCCGACCGATAATAATATTGGTTACGTGGAAGCATCGAGTGATCTTTTTTACAGTTATTTTCATCGTCTTCAAAAATGCATAATTTTTTTTTCGTAATTAATTTAAGCAAATTTTTAGCTTATCCAACTATTTTGATTTCTCCATCAAGCGACTTTTGAAATCATGTATTATGAGAACTATGGATTTTCTATGTAAAATTTTAATTTTTTTTTTCGATTTTTAGACTCCACTCAAAATTGCAAAAACTAACAAGGAGTAAACAAAATTACACTCACACTTTTTTTTGTTATGGGCATCTAAAATTTTTAAATGAGCTGAAACCCTTCATTTTTACTCCTTACCCCATTTGTGACCCTTATCATTTTTTCCGGTTTTAAAAACAGTCTTTTCTATTTTTATAGAACAAATACTTTTGAAAAAAAATAAAAAAATGATAATTTTAATAAATAAGTATAGAAACGGTCGGTAAAGAATAGACTTACAAAGACCCGTATTTTACTGGTGCGGACAGCTAGTTAATTGATAATCCGCCAAAACTGGTATTAAAAACAGCTTAGTTAAAAGATTTTGTTGAGTGTTTATTGCAAAAATGTTTCTACAAGAAAAGTCTAACGGATTGGGTTATTTCATTTGACCTTGCTCTCGGTGACCAGTTTTCAGAATCTTCTTTTACTTTATAAATAACTATAACCTTTATAAAAATTTGAAATTTGTTATTATTTTAAATTTCAAAAAAAAAAAAACAGCGAGAGAAATGTCACACAATTGTCATCTGTGTTAGAGATAGTAACACAGATTATTATTATTATTATTATTATTATTATTATTATTATTATTATTATTATATTTTCTTTGCCGTATAATTAAATTTACAATGAGAAAAAACTATTCATGTATAAAAATTGGCCGGAGCAAGAAGAAGACATAAACTGTCTTATCGCCAAGCCCCGTTTACATTAACGTCACAAAGTTACAAGTTAAAAACTAAAAGGTTAAAAATTGAAGTACAATACAATATTAGTTCTACGAATATAAGACACAAGTAATAAATCGAATAAATGTTATTTGTCTGTTCAAAATTAATAGTATATATATTTTTTATTTAATAAGAAATAAACAAGATACACAAGACAATAGCAAATGAGTAGTGATGACTTTTTCAGGTTTAATTATTTTAGGTGATTTTAGAAGAAATCTTTAAAATCGAAAGTTTTTTCTAATAGAAAACGTTTAGATTCTCTTTTGAATTGTTCTAAGGAGATGCCTCGAAGAATTTTATTTTTAATTATATTTTTTAAAAAACCTTTCCATATAAATAGTCCCCGGTATTGAATTTGAAATGAATTGAGTTTTAATTAAGATCTTGGAATAACAAAATTATCAGATGAAAATTTAGTGGGATATTTATGAGATATTTCGGTAAAGTAAGACTGAAATATATTAGGAGATAACGCATGTTTTGTTTTAAACGTAAATAGCATAACTTGGTATATATTAAG